ACCTCTCGTGGGGTGCACACTTCTCTCTGGATATTGCTAAACCATCCCTGCTGCAGGTGAGAGAGCCTAAAGCTCAGAAAAATACTCTTGCAGGGCAAACGTTTTGCCTTTAAATGGCCCAGATTTATTTTACCAAATCAGCAAAAATTCCCAAGGCAGGATATACCTAACATTTATTTCCGGCCATGGTGATCTGTGCCAAGTGTCTGGGACTAGCAGGGCGGTTTGCCAGCTCCCCTAGTTCAGGACTTAACATAGCACGGCCCTTACCTCAGAACGATATCGTATTCTATCCCTGGAGATGGGTGCAGCTGCTTTTTCCTCTCCTCACTCCTAATCTTCGCCAGCCAGATCCCTCATTAGGGTTACTGAGTCTGCTGATTGTTGCACCCGTCCCTTTTGTCATCAATTCATGCAGCAGCAAGGATTGCTAGAGGCCTGCAGTCAAAATAGTTTTATTTCCTTTGTTTCATACAAAATACAAACATGTACAAAAATGTACACATAACATTGTCAATCGGTTTACATTAAAAAGACACTGTAGATTCAAATTAATTTTGCTTACATAAATCATGTAAACATAGAACTGGGCCCACACTGGCTAAGATTGCATTATTTGTTAAATATGTCATTTGCATGAGCCGGTTATGGAGTTGCTTTCATACAGAGAATGAAGTCTGCAAAAGTGATTTCTCCAGCCATTTCTCTTCTGGCTTCTGAACTCCAAAATCAAATTGTATACACACACACAGAGTCATTTGTGTAAATATATACCTCTCTATGTATATACATATACACATAATAGAAGATGGTTTACACCAATGCATGCAGATGTCCACAGAGAGGCACAAGTAGGCACAATGAATACTCTGAACATACAAGTTGTAGCAAGCATTAAATACCCTGTGTCATACAGAACAGATAATATACAGGTTGGACAGAGTTTGATGCCCCGCATGCCATCATGAATAGCTTGGACGTGCAGATCCTCTACATGTACAAGGCCAAGAACTTTTACAATTCTTTTTGCCAAGGACAACAAGATACTTCAACGATACATCAAAGTGTAAGGCTAGCACAGCATATGGTTCCTTCATGGATAAAGCTAATAAGGTAACTGGTAGAGGACTCACCAATCTCATGTCCAAAAATAAAGAGGCATTATACACTGCAAATTATGGTTTCCATGGCCAGAAATCTATTTGCCTCAAAAGAATGCGGCCTTTCCTCATCCTTTTTTGTTTTTAGTACCTTCCAATAAAAGCATGTAGAAATAGGGCATGAGAGAAAAGAGGTCAGAGGTCATTCTGGCGAAACCACGTTCCAGTCTATCTGATTTGCCCTCCAAATGTAACAGTCTGCAACATTTGGAAAAATGAATATAATGCGGTGCATACTTCCCCTACATTTCCACTTCAATCTGCTATGGGTTACCTTGCATTTTCCATCAGTGTTCACAGCAGAGGGTAAATGCATTTTTGGTTGGCCTAACTGACAATTACAGCTCCATTCTTTTTGATGGGGGAAGAAGAAATATATAAACTGTTAGTTCTGCATAGTTTTCCTCCTTGTTTCCTAAAAGAGAAATTTAAAGGGACACTGTCAGGTTAAACACAGTGGGTGAAAACCCAGTCCTGCTGCAGTCAAAGGCAAAACTCCCATTAACTTCATTGGGGTCAGGATTTCACTCCATATATTTTAACTAGGCTGATTATTAATAATGCATTAGAGATTGAGACGGAGCGAAACTGCAACAAATCTTTTCACCCATTATGCTGTGTGTTTACTTTCACTCAGCAGGGACGTTAATAAACACAGCCCTCAGTCTCACGTTCTGGTTTGCACGCACTAGCACACAGCTGCAATGCTGTTTGCAGACACTACCATAGGCATGTTTACATTCAGATGGAAACTGGCCGAAATGAACTTTAAAAAAATTACCCCAATATTAGGAGTTTGTAACTCCAGAGTCCACACCCCTTTTCCAACTGGCACTACTAAGGGCCTGTTCCTGTGCAAGTCAACAGGTAGGTTGCTGTGGACTCTAGTGGCAGCAGGATCAGGTCCCAACATAGCACAGGCATTTCAATAACCCAATGACTCCCTGAGGGGAAAAGCAAGAGGAACCAGTCAATGTTATACATTTAACTGCACTGCAAGGATTTTGGCAGGAAGTGGGCATACAGTCGATGCATTTAAAAGGTTCCTTCTTGTTCTGCAGATATTGCCACTTCTAACAATGATCCGAGGTACAGACTATTGCTACAGCCAGTAATCTCTCAACAACTAGACAGCACTTTTTAAATGTATCCACTGTAGCAAAGTGCTTCTTACTTTCTGAAATATACAATAAATGAGAGACATTAACAACATTAGCAGCTGCAAACAGGCAGCAGCTGGTAACCATGTGCAGTGATCCCCCAAACTAGCACAAAGGCATAGCTAAAGATAACTACTGCAAATGGCACCAATTCCAGAATTGCAGTTACTTTCCTCTCTAGAATGAACAAGGGTGCACACATTCCACTCCCCCGCAATCACTGGCCTCCAACCCAATTTCTCTCCCACATCAATAAGAAACCCAGATGTTGCTGTGGGTCCTCGTAGTGAGTTCCCTGGGGCACGGAAAACGTGAATAAGTCAACAGTACAACTTTGCATACTGCCTGCAAAGCATTAGTGTTTGACAAAATCCATGCTACAAGCGCGCAGCATGTGAACTGCTGCACTAGGAGCCTTTGCAAATTTAACAACTACCGTACCTAAACAATATTACACCAAGGCTGCAAATAAAGCCCTCTCTGACTTCTAACCCGCTACTTCCATTACAGCCTAGACATGAGATCTGTACAGAACCAGGCATCGACTGTGAGATCTTACTCTCAGTGATTTATACACGTTATACTACTGGACAGCAAGCAAGCTTCTATTTCTGTTCTGTTTCCAGCGTGTCGGAATTACCATATTGCAAACATTCCCCTAAATGGAAGTCTTGCTGAGATGTCACTAATCTATGCTTTTCCCTCTCAGGCACAAGGGCTTTTACCATGACTTGATGGCACTTACGAATTTTTGCACATACATGTAATAAAAACTGAATCCTAACAGAATAATCAAGAGAAAAGATGCTTTAATTACACCATATTTAATATAAACATCTATTAATTGAGTGTTTACTCCAAAGTAAACAGAATAAAAGCAAATGCTACCTGTGAAAATTACAAGCTTTTGCCATCTTTAACTCTTTTAGTTTTATCATTATATTTATACCCTCTTTATCATCATCAAATAAACCTCAGTCATTTATGATGTTAACATTCGGTAATACACAACCACGCATTCCTGAAAAAACAAAAAGGACACGTGCCTGTATCATTCTAGGCCATGCGAAGCCAGTTACCAAACAGGCCATAATGCCACCAGAGAACACACTACAAGTTCTATTGCCATGGAAGTATATTTTGTCTTATTCCAACAGCTTACTCATTTTATTTGAAGCAGATACTTGTACAGCACTTCACCCCTATTAAAAGCACTCTCACTTGCATTCAAATGTTCTCATGTAAACAGCAATATAAATTGGGTTATACACTCAAGGGCCTACAGTAAGTGAAATAACAAAGGAAAACTGAAATGAAAAAAATTACAGCAATGATTTGATTTTTGCATGACTATTTTTTTGAGGTGGCAGGGATTGATCAGTACCTGAATGGCTATTTTGTGAATTGCAGTAAATTCTACCAAACTCGATCAGTCTGCAGAGATACAGAGACTTCATGGAATTAAGCTCAACTGGTGCTATTCATTTTATGTTTTTGTTTAAAGAACAGCTTTTTAACAACAGAGTTAGACAAGGATTTTTAGAGTACAATTTTGGCTATATAGGTTTTGTTATTAGCTTTCAAACTTTAAAAATATAATCTCTCTAAAGTGCATCATTATACTTAGAATTTATATAAAATATCTGAAATCATAGCAATGTGCCATGAAAACAGCAGTAGCTAGGCAGTCAGAAAACCCTACAGTCTTATCGATTTAGAAATAAAATATTTTGCTATATACTGTTGGTCAAGAATTGTCAGGGCAACAAAACAGTTACTGTAATTATCAGTACACAGGTCAAGCAGGCTTTTAATAACAAAATGTAGTCTTTGTGACTTCTGGAGTTTTGCATGAAGGCTATGGACACTGATGGCTAGGTAATCACAGCCACTGTAATTTAGGTATTAAGGAGATAAGGTCCTGATTCAGCAAAGTATTTACGTTTGTGCTTAAGTCCATCTCTACTTACAAAAACACCACCCACAGGCTTGACTTCAAGCATGCGCTTATTTCAATAGGGCTTGACACATGGCTAAAGTGACGCATGGGTTTCAGTGCTTCACTTAACTGGGGCCTACCCGTACAAAAGGCAACCAGCAATACTGACTTCTGAGGAACCCAGCAGCCATTTTTGTCCTACCATTTCTGCAACTAAACATCACTGTCATATTAAACAGTTATGCCCAAAATACCCAATCCTCCCATGCACCCTGTCAACTGGCATAAAGCTGGTTTGGAGGACAACGGCACCACTATTATTTGCTGGAATACTCAGACATCCTGCATGCAGAAGGGAAAGAGGACTGCAGTCAGCCAATCCAGCCCACATTTTCAAAAGTAGCCTCTGCATGTGTGTGCCCAGGTATAGACACCTCTGGGGTCTGGTTCTCAGAGATGCTGAGTGCCTACAACTCCCAGGTCAATGGAAGCTGTGGGTGCTCAACACCTCTGAAAATCAAGCCTTAGGCTGCGCACCCAAAAACTAAAGGCTACCTTTTTAAATATAGGCTTCAGTCTCTCCTACTTCTGTTATTTCTTCTAGGTGGAGGGGATAATTCTGTGATCGATGAAGAACCATCTGGAAAAGGTCAATGAATTTGGTGACTAGCAAAAGAAAAGACCCAACTTATACTACCTCTTACCAACTGGCGCTGGCTTATCACGGGCACTGTCTGATGCCTGACAGTTCTAGAGAACCTTGCCAGGGTTCATGGATGGGGAAGAGAGAGACATATTTCTTTTTAGTAAGTTTTGAGATACAGAAGCTATTGAAACATGCAGTAGATATTCTGTATCTATTGTGGCAAGAGTCAACATAACATAGCAATGTGGGGGAAATGCACTTAGGGAGCATGAACTGCCACGTATCTTGGAGCCAGACTGTCCTGGTATGTAAGCATGGGGTAGGGCACAGGCAGGCTTCCCACCCCCTCGTCTGACCTACACAAGGGCCAAGTACAATTGCAATCCCTGCACTCAATATCCACTGCCTTGCTCCTCCACACTGGCTCACTGATGGGATCAGTATGCAGGAGGGAGCATGCTGGCTTGCTCCACCTACATGCAGCAGGGATGAAGCCTGCCCTGGGAAGTCAGAATTCTTGCCTTAGTTCCAAGTAGGGGCCTCTCCCTGGGCTGTGTGAAGCTGCACATTGAAGCTCTTGAGGGTGACGTAAGGAAATAATGGAGCCTGATGGCTCAGCATGACAGAAATAAGAGCCTTCCACTTTTTTTTAAGCTCATTTCCCTTCAAAATAGCAAACGTCTAAAATGAGCGTCTAAAATACCTGTCTATAATTCATTCACAACAAAGTTTTCCTTTCTGAAAATTGTTCATGTTGATTTGTGTGTGTTAAGTTCCAACTTTTGACCTCAGACTCACACACTTCCAAGGGCAGAATCTGGCTCAAAGTTTCCCATTTCCTGAACCATCCCCTCTCCTCCAAAGTGTTTATATTTGCACTTATCATCAGGAAGAAAAGACCATGAGTTCACTGTGTTCTGTATCCCCATCTCTGCCATTCACACTTAGTGCTGCAATCCATGTGGTCTTACCATTTAGGTGCACAGAAGAACAAAGTTTAGGGTATGTGCACTATATGTGTATGGACTGTCCAGCTCAGTCTTTAATGTCAATATCAGACACTGAAAGATTGGTGGTCTGTCTATGCTGATGTGGACAGATCTTCACTCTGCTTACCAGATACCTGAACTGGGAGAGCTGTAGTGACAGAGCAGCGCGTTATTTCAATAGAACATCTCAGCTACTAAAATCCAATAGGATTCTGACTGCTGCCATCAGAACCTCCACTCTGATCCAAATGCCCAATCACAGTCCCAGTGTCACAATTCAAAATGCCAGCTAAGGCGACCCGGCAACTAAGCGTATTGCTGAATTTCCTTTGACAGTGCTTTTCTGATCAGAGGCAGCTACCATCTACCTAAGCAGAAGTGACAGCTAGAAAACAGGTGTAAGAAAATCAAACACTAGGAAAAGTCACACTAAAGTCCAACGCAGTAGGCAGGGCGTTGATTAATAGCAATTCTCCAGCACTCAATGGGGTAACTGAAAAGGCCAAATTCCCAAACACCAAACCTACAGGCAATTTGAGAGCCTGAGCTCACTGTCACCGTAGCTAAGAGAGAACAGCCTCAGGACTTCCCGACAGCAGGAACCGTGTGTCACGTTCCATTGGACTGGGCACTCGGTTGGGAAAGAAGAGGACGTTATTGGACGATTCATCACTATTCAGAGCAGTCAGCCCCTCAGTATGATTCTCTGGAAAAACGTAATCTGACTCTGATATTCTAAACATGACAGAATTGGTAAGCGAATCAAAGCTAAGGACCCTTTCGGCGCAGTCTCTGAGCGTAGCATCACCTCTCTCTTGCTGGCAACCCCAGTCTAGGTGACTGGCCTGGTGGCACAATGGACTACAGCAAGTGCAGAGAGTGATGTAAGCCACCCTTCCTCCACCTCCCACCTCTAAAAATGGCCTTTCAGTTCTTGGGGAGCTGCTAAGCCCCTCATTGTCGGGCTCCTGCTGCACCCTTCATGCATTCATCTCGTTGTCTCGGTCTCTTCTTAGCCTCTCTGCAAAGTCGATCAGCTTCATTACATACTCTTGGAACTAATATCTCTTTTACTGATCAGCACCTCCAGCAATCTCAGCTTTGCCTTAATCTGCTTGTATTCATTGTATTCTTCAGCCATGGGAGTACGATCTTCTTTCTGGACATTTCTAACAGAAACAAGGAGGAGATGTGAGAATTTTCTGGCAGGACATTACTTCCCCAGCTATTTCCGCCGCCCCCCCCCTTACTTGTCATCTGCAGAGAAAAATGATGAATGTCATTTTTAGTTAGCTACAAAAGGAAAAAAAGGTGCATAACCTAACCTAATAATGGGGGGGTGAAACTCAGGATATTTCTGTGTCAAAGCTGAAAGTGATCCTGATACTATTCTAGAGTCAAAACATACTGACATCCTTGTATCAGAGCCAGTTATACTATCCCCCCCCGGACCTCAAACAGTGCTCAGCTTATGATAGCTTCCTGTTCCATTGAAAGGCTCTCCCTGGTTATAACAGAAGCTATTATGAGTGGGTACCCCGTTCCAAAGGTATAAAAGCTTCCATTTCTAGTTCTGGAGGGGCATGAGATATCAGACCATACGTCTGTCAGTGGAGCAAGACTGAACACTGCCCATCCTGGGATCCGGGATTTTGGGCAGAAACTTCTGCGACTACAGAAAGAAGGAAACTTTTTGTTGCAGGTTAACTCTGGGTCCTTTTTGAAGCCGCACAGAGATACAGCATGTTAGTAAAAAATCTCTGCGAGTGCTGAGCCAGGGGACAAAAGGGCTGGTGAGGTTGTCAAAGGTGCATAAATAGATGAATTTATCACATGGATATCATCAGCTCACATGCTACATAGATATATGTCCATGTGCAAGTGTATATATATACACACACACAAACACCAGCAGCCGATGCACCTGAAGTGAATTCCCAGCTGCATTCACTTTCTGAGCTCTGATGCTGTTCACAGAGCGAGTGCTCGAGCTACATGCTTATGGCCAAATTCTCCACTCAGATGCATTTGGTTTATACTGAGGCCAATGGGAACCATGCTCGTACAAGGAGAAAATTCAGCACGTAGGGTTTATGATGTCAGCTGAGCCTAGGGTGACCTGATGTCCCGATTTTATAGGGACAGGCCCGATATTTGGGGCTTTTTCTTATATAGGCTCCTATGATCTCCCACCCCTGTCCTGATTTTTCACACTTGCTGTCTGGTCAGCCTAGTTGAGTCCCTCCCCAAAGTGGGCCTAGCCTTATGTTCACTGTAGGACCATCTTTCCCCCTAGAGCACATATTTTCAGTATCCAGAATCTCTAAAGTCTAGGATGTAGCATGTTATTTCTCATTATGGAATAGACTCTTCATATACACAATATGTTACAAGAAATCACATGCATTTAACTACTGAGTTTCACATTTCTTTTTGAGAGATGATTACACTTCTTGTTGCATTGTTTTACTGTGCTGCTATTTAACATTAATTTACTCCATGAATTACCCATTAAGTACCAAAGTACTGTTTTCATAGACCCACAGATGGGAGGGAGGGATAGAGAGATACATTTCTATAGTGTCCCTTCAGACAAGATTATTATTCTGTCCCAAAGAATTACATTCCTAGGAGTCAGTCCATGAGTTGGTTCTAGATTTTATCTTATGGTTTATGTGATTTACTGCTCTGAGCACATGAGAGGGAGCTTGGAACACTTGGGTTTTCATCTTGGCTCCATTGCTGTGTTAGGGCAAAATTTTCAAAAGCCCCAAAGTCCCTTAGGAGCCTAACTCCTCATGGGATTTAGGTGCTTTTGAAAATTTTACTCTTAACCTCAATGGGCTGTGTCTCACAGAATTAACAGGAAGACTCTCAGGCGTGTGTGTGTGTGTGTGTGTGTGTGTGTGTAAGGGAGTCAATCTAAGTAACGCAACTTCAGCTACGTGAATAACGTAGCTGAAGTCGACGTACTTAGATCTACTCACCGCGGTGTCTTCACTGCAGTGAGTCGACCGCTGCCGCTCCCCCGTTGACTCCGCCTGCGCCTCTCGCGCTGGTAGAGTACAGGAATCGACGGGAGAGCGCTTGGGGTCAACTTATCGCGTCTAGACTAGACGCGATAAATCAACCCCCACTGGATCGACTGCTGCCCGCCGATACGGCGGGTAGTATAGACATACCCCTAGTGACTTCAACAGGCTTTGGAACAGATGCTCTGTATCCCAGCTTCCCTATCAACAAACTGAGGATAACAAAGTGAGGATTAATTTGGTAGCGTACATAGGGCACTTTCTATTTTCAGAGCCTTTTGCTCTCAGTAAGTATTACTGGCAGTAGTTATAGCAATAGATGGATGAATTAGAAATGAAATACCTTCCATTTTGTCGGAAAAAATTATCTTCAAATTCTCTCAATTTTTTTCTGATCCGTTTTTTCTCTTCCCTGACTTCTTGGAGCTGCTCTAAGAGTTCTGGCCTGTAGGGTTAAATTATAGATATAAAAATTACATAGAAAATTAAAACGGGAATGGTATAATAATTCTACCAAAATATATTTAGCCAATCCTACAAACACTCCCTAACAAATTGACACGACTCTTAAGTTTAAGAGTGTGAACAGTCCCATCACTGATCAGCAAAACAACTAAGCATGTGTTTAACTTTAACCATGTGCTAAGGTCCCTCTGGCTTCAATGAGATTTAAGCACATGCTGTGGTTTGCTGCATCCAGGCCCACACTTGGTATAGTGCAAGAAACCTGACATACATAGAAGCAGCATGGAGGGTAGAAAGCCCCATGTCCTGGCTGCTCTTTGAAGGCATCTTATCATCCACTGGAGAAATGAAGCCATCAGCCTCATCTTCTAGTTGATCCAGGAAACTCCGCACGCTGAAATCTGGTTTCAGGGTGACTGTGAAATCTGGTTTCACGGTGCTGTCCTCGTCGGAACCCTCCTCTTCCTCCTACAGAAAGAGAGACAGTGCCCCCATAACAAGAAGTTACTACTTCTCTCTGCAGACACAACCCGCATATTACATTCTTTCACCACAAGCACTGGGCTAAAGATATGGAAAGAGGTTGATAGACAGAGACAGCACCTTACTTGCTCTAAGATTTACAGTGCACTAAAATATCAGTAGTAACCCCCCTCCCACACACACACACAGAGCTCCAACCCATTATTAGTAGAAACCACCACCACAAATTCAGCTTTGTTAGTGAGACAAAGTGCGGCAGAATCACTATGATGAAGAAAAATCAGAATTCTTGGCAGCCTGCTATTTCTTGTTCATTTGTTTTCAGCATTCTTGATTAAGCTACAAGTACTTCCAAACTTAACAACCATTGGACACAATGTCTCAATGGTGGCAGTGTCTTCTCTCTGTATCCTCCACACCTAAGCCCATCAGTAATTTAGTTGTGACAAATCCACAAGCTGCCACGTTAATTTGCATGAAACCTCTCCTGTGGTGGATGCCTCGCAAAGGCTCTATAGCACTTGGCATGTTGCCGATAACTTTGACATATGGTGAGGATAGAACACAGCAAGGAACCTGTCAGAACCAGAGAGCTAAAGGACTGATTTGTGTTGTAACAAGGAGTTACAAAGGGAAGGTTTGTGATATTTCAGTCCAATGGAGGAGTTCAAGAATTAGACTGTCTACCTTGATTAAACTAAAACACTGAACTCAGCCCAGCATTTGAATTATGAGAGAGAGAGAGAGAGAGAGAGAGAGAGAGAGAGAGAGAGAGAGAG